ATCAGGAAAAGCGGCTTCAGCCGACACACACAGAGCCTTAGTACCCATCTCACTCACAGACAGAAAGATGCAAAAGAGTCCAGAAGGGCTAGGGCTTCAGCAGTGGAAAGTGCACCACGGAAAGTTTGCAGGTTAGTATCTATTTGAAGAACATGAGATGTGCAGCCACATGTATAGACTTATGTATGCAAAGAGGCACATCCCAGGCTTACAGATATTTACAGGTATCCTGCAGCTAATCTGGGGGGTTCTTCTCACAGATTTGCAACTTTTATGGGAATGACTCAGTCTAACCAGAGTCTTATGGATAGAGGACCAGTCCCTCTGTTTGCCTTTTTCTCTGTTTTGGAAATAAATCTGCTCTAGGAATTGGTATGTGGTTCTGGGTGTCACACCCCATGCTTTGAGCCCTGCTGCTGTCAGATTCTACTTTTAGGCCTAGGCATCCTGCAAATCTCTGGGGTCTTTGGGTGCACTTGGAGCTCAAGGTGCAAGTCCTTTCTTGAGCTGAGTCAGTGCCATGCTTTATATGTATGTAATGAACAGGGTCCACTTTTGCCTTTGGAAGCTACACATTTTCCTTGTGGTATCTAATCCCCATCTCTCTCCTGGCACCCATGCTCTGTGTCCAATGATTCCCTAACTGAAACACCACCCCTCAAGCTTGCATCTTTTTCACCAGTGGGATAGGGCCAGCCTGCATCACCACATCAAAGGTTCTTGGACTGTTGCCCAGCTTGGGTGTTTTTTCTCCCTGGACCAGTTCTAAAATAGGTGCATCATGGATTTCAGGCCACCTTCAGATGAATAGGAATGATGTTTTGAGATTAATATTTTAGAACTCAGTGAAATGGCCCTACTGAGATATAGCCTCCAAATTGGCTATATATCAAGCATTTGTGAGGAAGCGTGTAGAACTTTTATCCTTTGCTGGAAGGAGTGTACATTTGTATTTATCATTTGGGATAAGTTTGGCAATATCTCCTAACATTGGAGATAAGTATAACTACCAACTCATTCATTCCATTCCTAGTTATTTACCACACAGAAATGCAGGCGTGAATTCACAGGGTACATGCATGGGATGTTCCTACACAGGGACCCTCATGGCCCATTATGAGTTAGGATCCTGGAAACAGTCTGTATCTCTATCATCACTTGCTAGATAAATAAGTTGTGGTACATTTGTAAAATAAAATAATACACAGCAATAAAATCGGATGAACAAGACACAAAACAACACAGGTAAATATCAAAAACATAAAGTTGAGTGAAAGAAGCCCAGCACATGTGTACACACACAATTCTGCAGGATTCTGTATACTACGAGCAAAAGAAAGTAGGCACCCCACATGAGGGATGCATCCTTAGATGATGAAACTATAAAAAGAAGTAAAGGAGATGAAGAAAAACCCACATCAGTAGAGAGGTTCAGAGGGATCTGGGTGGGAAAGGGCATGTGGGGTTAATATTTACCTTTGTCTCGAGCTGAATGGTGGTTACTTGGGTAACTAGCTTTACAGCTTTTAAGCTGTACCTTCATTATTTATGCATCTTTCTATGCATGTGTTATTTTTTAATGATTTAAAACAAAAGCTTCACCAAAATCATCCCTACAGGTAATGCTCCCAAGCTTGAGGCTCTGAACAGTTCAGATTGTATTTCTCTCTCCTTCCCCTTTCATCTGCAAATGATGCTTCCATCCCTGCATCCTCTGAGTGCCGAGGTGGATGCACACATGTGCACCTGCGAATGCTGCCAAGCAGTGACCTGACTCTGGGCAAAGCGCCCTCCAGATTCACGCCCTTTGTTTGGTCTGACCTCCAAAGAACTCCCTTTGGGATTCAAGAGCATCCCAGGACCAGCGGCAGCATTTCACTTCCACTCCTATGGAGCCAGGCTGGAGCAGGAGTGTTTTCTCCATTTCCCCAACCTTCTGCCTTTGCCATTAGCACAAACTCCAGACAGCCCGGAGACGTCTCAGTCCTAGACCCCGAAGCACTGCCTCTCACGGCCCCTCCCTTGGGTCCATCCCAAGACTGCTGCGGCAGCCCACAGCACCCTGTGGCCTTGGACTGTCTAGCCTGGGGCAGTCTCCTACTGGGTACGACTTACTCTCCCTCACCTGTAATCCTACTTCCTGGGACATATGGGATATAGCCACAGTTGTGCCCAGAAATTCCCTTTTATTGTTTTTAAGATGTGATTGGGAAAAACTAATGCTTGCAAGACAGATAATAATGATTTGAAGAAAGCTTTAGGTTTCTAAACGTTAGGAAGAGCTTTGGACCAGGGACCAGAAAGCCTAAGCTCCAGCCCAAAGCTTCTTCTCTGTACTGTGACCCCAGGTGAGACATCAGTATCCTTAGATCTCATGTTCTGCCTAGCTCACAGGAGCAAATGGGCTAAATATATAGGGAATGCTTTAAAAGCTGTAAAATGCTATACAAATATGAGACTATCATCATCAGTTTTGGCTGGGTAAAGGGGTGGCACACACTTGTAATCCCAGCATTCTGAGAGGCTGAGGCAGGAGGATTGCAAGTTTGAGCCCAGACCAGGCAACTTAGCAAGAGTCTACCTCAAAAAAAAAAAAAAAAGAAAAAAAAGTTAAAAGGACTGGGATGTAGTTCAGTGCAAAGGCCCCTAGTATAGAAAAGAGAGAGGCGAAAAAGAGGTGGGGGAGGGCTCATGGATATAATAAAGATCATTTTGGGTAGAACCCCAGCTCCTGTGCTCCTGCACGGAAGACACAGTCCGGTGGGCTGGTGGCACTGTGGCAAACTCATGCCTACCCCTAGTTCCGGCCAGCTGCTATACAAGGCTGCAGATGGGCTGTGGCCCAGACAGAACAAAACCACGCGGCTGCCAAGGTCAGGTGAAAGCCGAAGAGGTCGCCGTCCCCTCTGTTCCTATACAAATGTGATATTTAAAGGTGTGTGCCGCTTTAAGTATCACATTTGCATAGGAATAGAGGGGACAGTGACCTCTTGCACCTTTAAGAATTTGGTTTAATTCTTTCAACTCATGTGAAAGAAGCAGTGAATGGTTTTAAACAGGAGGAAGAGGCCCAAGCCTGAGCAAGTCCGTTGAGATGAGGATGGTGTTGACAAATCCCAATCATCTTTCTAGGTGCCAGCACTGGGGAAGGACAGAATCAAGATGCCTGGGGGCGGCTGGGGATTTAGCTCAGCGGCAAAAGCGCCTGCCTGGCAAGCGCAAGATCATGAGTTCGGTTCCTGGTACCGGAGAAAAACCAGGAAAAAAAAAAAAAAAAAAAAAAAAAAGATGCCTGGGGGCCTCGTTCTCCCAGGGATCCTTTCTGGGGAGTGAGGGGAAAGGGTCAAGGGCAGGTGTGGTCCTCTTGGCCACCTTAACCTGTCCGCAAACCTCAGGCTCCAGAGCCCTGACTCCTCAACTGAAGTCGCTGTGGGCCTCCCAACCTTCTCAGAGAGAATGCCTCATCATAGCACTGAAGGGGCCAAGCCTAAGGGTGGGCAGAGAAGGAACTGGGGTTCACTTTTGGGGAACATTTTTAGGAGTGCAAGAAAGACACCCGAATCAATCCCCATAGCTACAGTGTTTCATCATCTTCATCCCAGCTCTCAGCAGAGCTAGGTAGGAAAGTCACGCTCAAAACCCAAGCGTCACGTTGGATCACTTCAAAGTATTTTGATAATGATGAATGCACCGTCTCTTCTCTTGGCAGTCATATAAAGTGGGTCCTGCTCCCACCTGGCAGATGGAGAAAGTAAGACCTGGCTGCTTGGTAGGAGCAGACAGAGAGGGGCTCACTCTGTCCGGACACCTCGGCTGGCATTCCTTCTGCCTCAAACTAGAGGCCCGTCCTTTGCTCACATCTTACATCTATCAGCACTCACCAGGCAACCTCAGCTCCTCCAGGATACACCCTCAGAAGGCTCTATTTTTTTTTTACAAAGAATATTGATGTTTACAGTCATTTACTATTAAATTTACCACTTACAGTAATGCTCTAAAAATGAAAGAAATAGGGCCGAGGCTATAGCTCAGCGGTAGAGTACTTGCCTAGCATGTGTGAGGCCCTGGATTTAATCTTCAATCTCAGAATTAATTAATTAATTAATTAAGGAAATAGATTTCTGTTTAAAGCAGCAGCCCATTGGGCAATTATTTCAAATATTGATCCAAACACTAGATGCCAGTTAATAAGACACAGTTTCTTACCACTAGAGTTGAATGCTGATCGTTATTTGTCTGATAAATAAATTCTTTTCTTGTTTATATGTTAAAATATTGCAGCAACAAAAACAGCAACAAAAACAACGACAAAGTTATAATGTCTGTAGTCCTAACTCCTCCCAGCGCACCATACACCACTAGATAAAAACCCTGGCTTTCTGAAACCGGTCAGAGTAAAGCGAGTTTTTATGAAAATTATACCACTGGCCCATTGGTCCTTGGTGTGCACAGGCTAAATGTCTAGGAAGGCACATTACTTATTAGAAAATAAGAGAAAAAGAGAGAGAGAGGGAGGAAAGGAGGGAGGGAGAGAGAGAGAGAGAGAGAGAGAGGGAGAGAGAGAGAGAGAGAGAGAGAGAGAGACAGAGGCTCTTAAACCTTAAAAAAACAAAACAGGGAAGACACAAAAAAATTAGCTACCATATTCCCAGGAGGGAGATGAAGCCACCTTAAAACTGACAGCTAAGACACTTATTGTACTTTTACATTTCATTTAGCTTTGAGTTCCCTGGAAGCCAAGATGAAAATAAAAATACATTGGTTATATGGTTCTTAAAGATTGAAAAAAAAAATTTACAGTTTTATTTCACAGATTCACTAAACCACCACCAATGTGGCACAATTTTGGATGAATGTTTTATGTATATTTTTTCACTCCAGAAAGAACAGAAACGGTGGAGTCTAATTTGGACACAGGCTTTCTAAAGAATATTTTGGGAAGGTCGATACACTCTAAGCCTTGATCAAGAGAGAGACAGAGAAACCAAACTCTTCCTTACCTCCTCCAGCTTATCCACCCGCCCCACCAGTTTGGTGGTGACCGAATGCAGCTTCAGGAGATCCAGCCCATAGAAAGCACCTTCCAGCATGTCTATGATTGTGGAGAGCTAGGAGACAAGGGCAGGGTTAGTCCAGGCTGGGGAAGACAGATCACGGGGAAGCAGCTTCCTTTCAGGACTCCATGTTGGAGTTTCAATGAGGAAACCAGTACCCAGGGATTCAGAGGGGCCCTCAGAAACACATGTGTGCACATAGGGACATAGAGGGGATGGTAAATATGCACTGTGCCTTCTGTATGCATATGCACACGCACATGTGAATGTGTATGGGTTAGGGAATTGGAGTGTCCAATAAGAACAAGTAAACACAAGATCTAGTCCCAGTCACAAACTGTCTATGCTTCTTTTATGGAATCTGCCAGTTGCCTACACCTCCACCTTTCCCACCAGCCTATAAGCTCCTTGAAAGCCTCTTTATCTCTGTCTTCTCCCGCTACACTTCTGAGCACTTCGCCATAACAAGTAATCTATAAGTACTCAGCAAAGTGGCTGTAAACATCAATGCCTTGAGCATGTGCTGCTGAAACCCTCAACTTTATCATCTACTGAAGGCCTTGGAAGGTACCAACAGATTTTTCTAAAATGCAGCTGTAATCTCAGTTATGAGGGAGGCTGAGACACCAGGAGTTTTAGACGAGGGCAATGTAGCATGACACTGTCAAAAAAAAAAAAGCTGAATTCAGTGTTTTTCAGTACCCCAGGCCAGCATAAGCACAGTGGGATGAAGGTGGCCAAGGCTCTGGCAGCATCGAGTGCAGACAGTGCAGGCAAAAGGGGCTGACATTTAACTGGAGCCTCCCTGCCCAGTACCGGTGCCCAGAAGGGTTTGCTAGGTTACACTTTTGCAATCTCTATCCCCTACTCATCTCCTAGCCTTGCTTCGGGATGAGGAATTCCACTTGGAAATAGAAGATCTCCTTCTCCCACACCAGAGGAAGACGGCTGGCTCATGGGTAGGAGCCATAGCTGGTCAACATGTACTGCAATGATTTTCTGATTCCTAATAGAAGTTTTGTTTGATGTTGTCCTACAAGTCTCCGTGAGTCCAGTGCTAGAACTGAGTGACCATGGCACTTGGTATAGAAAGTAGTTTCACAGCAGAGCTTCAGCTCTGAGCAATATGGCCAGTTCTGGGGACACCCTGGTACTGATAAACTCTTCTCTGCTTAAGAAGACACCAGTGACAACCCATATCTGAGGGAGTAGAAGGGGCCAGGAATAGCAAGTGCCATCACACGGCCATTCATTCATTCATTCATTCACTCATTCACTTAGGCATTGTGCCAAGCACTCAACAGCTGTCACCTCATTTATTCTCACAGCTCCTCTAGCAGATATTATTCCCAAATTTTATTCAAGGAGGCTGAGGTCAGACAAGTGAAACAACTCAAGCAGGGTCATGCAGCAGCATTTGGAACCCAAGTCTGACTCTAAAACCGAGCTTAACCCACCAAGCCAAGCTGCAAGTGGAGAGGTGTGCGGAGTCAGATGAAACCCTCAGCCAGCTCTCAGGACTGTTTGAGTAGGACCCGAGCTTGATCACAGGATCAGCTGGATGACAGGGCCGGGGAAGGGCCTAGGCCTCCCTCCCCTGGTTCACTCAACAATGGCGCTGAGAACTGAGAGGGTCACACATCTCTGTGTCTCTCATCTCTTTAATGTACATGTTGGGCTAACGGTAACCCGTGACAACAATTTTCCTGGAGAACACTGTGTTCTTTTGGCCAGCTGGGCCTAGCAGCTGCTCCCTGGCCTGGTCCTCCCTGGCTGCGTAAGAAGGCACAGGCACACTTTATTCTTAATCTCCCTTGGACTCCTCAGCTGTAAGTGACTGGTTCGTTAGAACATCAGCCTCAGCTCTATACACAAGACTCCAAGAAACAGGCTTGACCTCCCTCAGTGGCCTTGCCATCTCCCGCAATGGCCCTTAACCACAGCACTGCTCACACCAGTCCCTACCTTCAGGTCTCGGCTGTCCGCCTCCCGCAGCTTCTGCAGCCTGAAGTCCCCCTCACAGGGATTAAGGGCGGACGGGGGTGCGACGCAGGCACACTTGCAAGATGAGCCGGATGTGATGGTTTCCACAGTATAGAAGTCTTCCTTCCTGGAGGTGCCCTCGTTGATCCTCTGGCAGGCATCTCGGCCCAGAGGTCTCACCACACACTTGCACTGGCAGTCAGAGCCTTCAGACATGGCCTTGACTTTGTCATAGTCCCCCAGCAACTAGGTACACACAGAAAATAAGCTGGAGGTGTGCAGACATGGGTATCTGTCGCTCTCTGAAAGGAGGCAACCTATTTACTCAGGCAAAGGTCCTGCACTAGCCAAAGAGCTCAGACAACTGCGAACCATGGAGCAAACAGGTCATTGCAATGCAATTTGCTGACTTGGACATTTCCAAGAGTTCAGTGCTCTGGATTCGTCTTGGAAAGCACTGTATTTTTCTCAAGGGGCCTTACTAAGTCCTTTCTCATGTAAAGGAAAAAAAAAAAGCCCCATCCAGGCTTAGGTTTATAAAGGAAAAAGAGAGTTGCAGGAGGGATTGGAAAGTTGGTGTTCAAAGTCGGGGACTACTGGCTTCTCTCTTCCCGCATTCACGGGACACTTTGAGGGCCTTGTTGGGACCATGGGAGGTGAGCTGAGAGGTAGGGATGGGCCGTGCAGACAGTCCACCTACAGGAGCCAGAGTGCAGGAAGCAGGTGAACAGCAGTCCCAGGGACCAGAGGATGGGAAGTGCCCCTGGAGAGCAGAGAGAAAGCACAGTGTAGCTGAGAGGGGCTCCAGCTGCAAGACAGGGAAAACTAGAAGGACATGTTATTTGCACTGAGGCTTGAAGGACAGGTTAGATTTAGAGAAAAGAGGTTGGAAAAAGGGAGACAGAACGCAATAAGGTCTATTCAACCTAAAGGTGCCTTTGGGTCCTAATGCAGCATCTGAACTGGTCATGCCAGCTGCTTCTACAACACTGAACATTTCCTCCTGGGCACTTGCTTCCCCACCCCCGCACTTACAGGAGAAAAGCCCCCTTCCACAGCCCTAAGTTCCCAAAGCCAGGACTACCTTCCTAGTCAGGCAGAAGCGTTCCCTTCATCTGACTAATGATCCCAGCAGGCAGGCACTGAGCTTGTGTGAATGGAAATGTTCCTTGGGGTGCTGTCTCGGGGGAAGCAGGCATGTAATGTTTTTCTTGCAAAGGCTGGGCTTCTTCTAGTACTAACATTTGCTTTAGGGCTGTTGTCAAACACAGAATGGATCAGTGGAAGAAAGAGGTGTAGTTCAGGGTGATTTAAGCAGCGGGTCTTTCTGGGCTGATGTCTACTTTGTGAAACTCTGCCTAGATTCCTACCAAACAGTGCTCTAAGAACCCAGGGTGGGTTCCTTCCTTTCAGAAGGCTCAGATTTCAGGAGAGCTTTTGTTGCTGGTATTCCGGAGCCGCAGTGCAAGGGATTTTATGTTTTTTTTCAATTTAGGGTCAATGCGAGGTTATGGGTGGGCACGGGCATATATCAGCATAATCATAAAAGGCAGAGTGAGGAAACCAGTGCTCGATAAATCTCAAAGTAGAGCTGACCGCTCTCCCTACGGGAAGGAGACAAAATCCAGGAATAGGACTTAGTGGAGATGCAGGTGACACTCTAGGGGTCCCTTCTCTGCCATCCCTCACAGTGACACCCACAGAATATTGTCAGATTGGGTCCGGAGAGCATGACCTGAACACTCCGAGGTGTTCCATACAGTCATGAGAGGTGGGGTGAAGAAGGGCAGGGGCCTTGCTCTGCGCTCCTCCGGTTCTCTTTAGCTGTATGGTCCTTGGTTACAGAACGGGCACCCGCACATTTTGATGACTGAGTCAGATTCATAGATGGACTCGCTACAAAGCCCATCACTACCACCGTCACTTGGTTCCCACTGAGTCTGCCAGACCTGCGTGGTTCTGCCTCTTCACTTTCCCTCCCCAGTACACAGGGGCTCACGGATTCCTCGCTTCTGGGTCACCTCACATTCATCACACACCTTCGCTTAGTGCTTCTGCCTGGGGGTCTTGCTCCAGGACATAAAGCATCTCTCCGGGTTACCCGGTCCTGTTCCACATTCCAGCTCTGACAAACAGCCGCACAGGCAAGAGGCGCTTTCCACAACCCATAAACCCAAAAACAAACAAGTATTTTCCTTCTTCTCAGGGAGCTCTGGGCAGTCTTCCCTTCGCTCTCCTCTTTTCTCCTGATTTGGTAACCTTGAAAGACCCCGAAATTTTTAGAGTAGGACCCAAGTCTTTTCCTTTAAGAAAATATTCTGATAAGTGAAAACGAATGCCCTTTCCATTGGCAACGAAGTGGGAAAGTGCTGCCCCCAACCTTCATCCGGGGCCAATTTCTGGCCCAGCCACCTCGCGGGGCAAAGAGGGGTGGGCTCAGGCCTTATCCTACCTGAGATAGAACGTTCTCCTGGTTGTCCGCCTCGTTCTGCAGAGTCTCATCCTCTGTGGGCGCCACTGTCTGCGCATCGGGGGGCTCGGTCGTCCCAGTGGGGGGAGTGCTGACCCCCCACACCCGTGCCACAAGTAGAGCGAAGCAGAGAACTGGCGGTAGAGGCTTGGCCATGAGGGACGCGACCACAGGGACCTCAGCCCCTCTGAGAACGGCTCGGGTCGCGGGCTCAGCGCAGACTGAGGCAGGAAGGTGTCTTGGCTGGAGCGTTGAGTGGCTGCCCCGGCGCCTCCTAAAGCTGGGTGCGGCTGCGCGGGGCAGGAGGGCGCACCCCGGAGACCCTGGGCATCTCCTTCCCGACCCGAGTAGTCAAGACTGTGGGGAGCGGGGCGCAGGGAAGAGGTGACCGGAAGGTGTCTCAGGTGTGAGGCAGGCGCGCGGCAGAGGCGCGGGCACGCACGGCGGGGGAGCCCGGGGGCGCACCGGC